GAGAATTGTTGATGTAAAAATTAAAGACCATATTTATAAGAGACCTGCTGTAAAAATAATTAAACTAGATGTAAGAACAGATACATTGTAAACTCTAAGTATTGCCGTCGTCTATACTTAATTTTCCACGACTCCAATACTTGGGAGGAGGATGTTGATGCATTATATTAATTTGAATTTGATATGTTGATGTTATGTCATTGTGTTATGTAAGAAAAATACTAAACTGTTATCGAAATCTCGTATGTATCACCGAATGAAAGACGGTCACTCTGAAGTACACGAGTTGACGAGCGCAAAAGCTCAAATATATTGCAAAAGATCCAAAAATAAGTGATCAGCATATAACAGGTGTTTTCTTCAAACGAATCTTTCGACGACTACAACGACAGTGGCTTGTGTGGGCTAGAAGTCGGTCTTTCGAGCCCCATAATCCTTAATCGGTATAACCCTTACCAGGTAATTACCCCAACACTCCCTGTTAAGTTTTTTTCGGCTAGATAAAATGGCAGCTGATATCACAAGGCCTACTAAGATGAAGTTATATAATCTGGAATATAAACAAAACGTAACCAGCTGATTGAAAAATCAAAGCTTTTCGCTTAACAGCTTAACTTTGTGCTTAGCATCACTCTGTAATTGTTGGCTGTCACAGAATTGAGCTAAAAAAGCGACCATACAGTGCACTATGGGGACTTTGAACACTTTTTTTTGCCAAAACCCATTGTTTAAAAGTCGTTAAGAATTGATTTTGTTAATCAGAATGCATCAGAATAACATCAATATCTAATGCTTCTAACAGAAAAGTTTAACAGTGCGCACCACTGTTAAGGTATCTGCTGTGAAAGCCTTTTTTTATTTCCACGAGGCGGCAGCGCTGGTAAATCTCCTTTTATTCCTAATAGTTTAAATAGTTAAAAAGTGTAAAACTAAACAAAGCACGGCAGCTTTTGAAATTCAATCAGAGGGACTTGTAACTTGTGTTTGTGACCTTGACTTTGTATTTATTGATTGTGGTGCCCGTATATTCGTGTTCTAGTTCTAACCTCAAAAAAAAACAAAATCATTAAGTTAATTTGTATTTTTAAATGGAGCTACAAAGTGATCCAGCTGTTTCCACCTCTGAAACCTTTTATGTCTTGTAGAGTATTTAGTTCTCATTGAGCTCGGTTAGTATAAAAGTGCGCTTTTGCGCACTTTCCCTAAAATTTAGTTTTAAAGACCTATACCTAATACTGTATATTTCTCGCATTTTTGTCTGTTAAATGCCAATCTCGATGTTATCTTAAAAAAAACAGTGTGCAATTATATTTCTTAATAAATAACGATTATTTTAAAATTATTTTACAACATCATTTCACTTACCTAACGTTGATATAAAGGATTTTAGGATTTTTGTTAAGAATTATAGTGGTAACAATATAAACAAGGAAGAACGCTATAGTCGAGTACCTCGCCTATCAGATACCCGTTACTCAGCTAAAGGGACCACAGGGAAATGGAGATATGCACGCAGCAAAGCGAGATTAAAATGCGCCACCTACCGGCGGTAGACAGATTTAAGCGATATGGGCGTTAGAGTGGGCATGGCAATTTGTTTTTGATCAATCGATAGGTATTGACGAGACCAATACTTTTCAGTTAAAATTATTTATCTAGCATGCAAATTGTGGGCGTCAAAGGTTTTCGCGGTTTGCGGGCGTTAAAGTGGGCGTGGCAAATTTTTTTTGGGTCAATCGATAGGTATTGATGAGAACAATACATTTCAGTTAAAATTTTTATTCTAGCATTAAAACTGTAGGAGCCACAGTTTTGTGCGGTTTGTGGGCGTTATAGTGGGCGTGGCACTCTGCTGAAACAAACTTGCGCTGCGTAAGAAGCTCAGGAATCTGCACGCCAAATCTCAATAGCCTAGCTCTTATAGTTTCCGAGATCTCAGCGTTCATCCGGACAGACAGACAGACGGACAGACGGACATGGATAGATCGACTCGGCTAGTGATCCTGATCAAGAATGTATATACTTTATGCGGTCGGCAACGCTTCCTTCTGCCTGTTACATACTTTCCGACGAATCTAGTATAGCCTTTTACTCTACGAGTAACGGGTATAAAAATTACAATTTCACTTAAAAAATAGAAAATAAAAAACGCCAATATTTTTTTTAGTTCAGTTTGGTTTTCCTAAAAAAAAAATTATGATAAAAATATTTTTATTTAATTAACAAGAAAAAAAACATTTTTTTTTAAAGGAGGAATCACGCTTATTTTATTTATTTTATTCCTTTTAAATTTTATATACCTAATTTAAAAAACAAAACATTTAAATGTTGCTTCGTTTTTAAGTTTTTAATTAATGCCACAAAAAGGAGGAAAATTCCCCATAGTGCAGTGCTTGCACTAGCTGTTTTTATACCCGTTACTCTTAGAGTAAAAGGGTATACTAGATTCGTCGGAAAGTATGTAACAGACAGAAGGAAGCGTTTCCGACCCCATAAAGTATATATATTCTTGGTCAGGATCACTAGCCGAGTCGATCTATCCATGTCCGTCTGTCCGTCTGTCTGTCTGTCCGGATGAACGCTGAGATCTCGGAAACTATAAGAGCTGGGCTATTGAGATTTGGCGTGCAGATTCCTGAGCTTCTTACGCAGCGCAAGTTTGTTTCAGCAGAGTGCCACGCCCACTATAACGCCCACAAACCGCCCAAATCCGTGGCTCCTACATTTTTGATGCTAGAATACAAATTTTAACTGAAATGTATTGTTCTCATCAATACCTATCGATTGACCCAAACAAAAAATTGCCACGCCCACTTTAACGCCCACAAACCGCTCAAGCCTGTGACGCCCACAATTTTCATGATAGATACAAAATTTTAACTGAAATGTATTGCTCTCGTCAATGACTATCGATAGATCCACGCCCACTCTAACGCCCATAACGCTTAAATCTGTCTACCGCCGGTAGGTGGCGCAATTTAATCTCGCTTTGCTGCTTGCATATCTCCATTTCCCTTTCGTCCCTTCAGCTGAGTAACGGGTATCTGATAGTCGAGGTACTCGACTACAGCGTTCTTCCTTGTTGGTTTTTATTTTGGTTGAGATTAGAAAATTGAATCTTAATAGGCGCTGTCCAATCAGCTGTCATTTTATCGAACCGAAAAATACTGTCAGAGTTAGCATTCACATTGACTCGAGATATCCAAATTATCTTAGCAGAAATGTAAGCCGGCACTCGAGAAATCGGCCCTTGGGCAGTATTGTGAATTTTTTTGAAGTATAAATAACTTTATAAAGCGAAACTAAAGATATGAAATAAAACACGGAGATGCCAAAATATGTTCATAAAAAATCATTAAAAAATAGTTTTGACTTTTTTTATCGAGGGTTCAAACTCTACTGGGAACTACCATTCTTCTTTTTGGGCATTTTGGTTGTAAGCTAGAGTAAATAATATCCATCTACCCATCCAAACATGTTTAATATTCACTTTCCAAATCTTCAAAAAGGTCTGTCTAGTCCCTTAGCGTTGTTAGCGATTGTGAGCGACAAAATAAACTTGCACTAAAGGAGATGCTTGGGAATCTAATTCTACAATTTCAACTCTCCAGCTCTTATAGTTTCCAAAATCACAGCGCTCACCCGGAGAGACGGACATGACTAGATCTACTCGGATAGTGATCCTCATCAGGAGTATATATCCTTTATGAGGTCGAAAACGATTTATAGGGTCGGAAACGCTTTCTTCTGTCTGTCACATACTTTCCGAAAAACCTATTATACCCTTTAACTCTACGAGTAAAATATATAAAAATGTAGTTCTGTTGTACAAACATTTACAACTCAGATAAAAACGAAAAAATTCTCTGTGTGTATGTACATTATTCATATGTACATACCGTAAGTGAAAGAGCTTTAGCCCCTATATTTATCTTTCAGCACGAACTTTCGAGGAACAGCTGATGTGTTTAAAAGAGCGTGACAATGAAAATGTTTTCATTATCGATGCGTTTTCTGTTCTCTCAGGCTCTGTGAGAGTCACACCATTCACTCTCACTTGGTGCTCCAACAATCGGCTCCAAAGCGACACATTCGCGGTTTGTCAGTCGGCGGAACCACTCTTCGCTTCACTGAACGCTCTTTACGTTTCTGATATACAATTTTTAAAAAGGGAGTGATCTTTAAAACAACACCAATAAGTTTGAAAGACATTAATAGCGAAATGAAGTGCCGGTATGGATGGGGCTTCCTCGGAGGTGGCGCCAATGGCGCAGTTCTGGTCGGACTACTTTGCGGATTTTTTGTCTGCAACGTCCGCTGTGATAAGGTGGAAATAATAGAGCTTGGCAATTGGACGATAACAAATCAGAATAGATGTGAGTTCAATTGATAGAAAGCTGATTGCAAAGAGCCTTTTTCGCTGCATAGTTGTCAAGTATCAATTATCAATCATCTTTAACAGTAATTTAAATTATTCTAATGTGTTTAGGAAGAGTACGTATCTCTATGAAAACTTTGTTATGCTGATGATGATGTTTTGTATACCTTACCTTCCTTCACAGCCCTAACCATTGCCAACCAAACGCTGCCTTCGGGAATATACAGTGCTTTTGCGCCCCAAGTGCTGGACTCGTACAACGACGTCGAACTGCGTTATTTGGCCTACGACAATTGGACCTACTCGAATCTCTTTCAATGTAAGATTCAGCAATTGATTTTTTACATTTTATGCAAAAGAAAGAAAGTAGAGGAACTATATAGTTGAGTGGACTACAAGATACACGTTACTCTCTTACACAATTTTAAAATAAATAAAATGTTAAACAATGATAATGTTGTTAAACACACATGAAGACATTAATCTTATGACACTGACGTTATTGACCATGATAGCCCTTACAACATAATGCTTTAAGGGGTTTTCGGGGATTCTTATTTATTATAAGAAAAAAGAGGTTTTTAAATTTGTCGTTGCTGTGTTTTAAAGTAAATTATTTCACCTTTTAACGGAGTTATAGTTAAACTGCCGGACCTCTATCGACTTCAAGTTCCTTGCGGTGGAAGAAAGGCTTATCTGAAATCCAAACTGTAAAAACATTTGATTAGTTTAATCATTTATCTTGTCGCTCATCGAAGGAGTAGGAAAATTTTTCAAAATGTTCGGTTTTGAACCAAAAAAAGATTTTCCGACGTAAAAAAAAACTTTTTTGGCTATAAAATTTACAAATTTTAAAACAAACATTTTTTTGTTCAGCGACAAGTTATTTTTTTTTTATTAGCAGCAACAAAATAAAAGCGATCGGATCTATTTATCGGAAGCGTGACCACCACGACAACATTTTCGGGGAAAACATCGTTACGAGATAATCGCGTTTAAAGTTTTAAGTTTACTTTTTGGGTGGCTAGAGGTACTTAACTATAGAATGCTAAATCTTACGTGTTTAAGGTCCGATCGGTATGATTTTTTATGCTATTATTCTTAAAGAAAATTCAAAATCAAAACTTTAGACAATTTATTTTTTTTTTAATGTACGAATGTGTAATATAAAAAACAAAATTTTTTTTTTGTGCGACAAAAATGAACAAATTAATAAAAAGTACCGTGGGAAAAATCTAAAAAAAATTACCAACAGCGCTTTCAACATTCTTAATTGTATCCACTACGCGTAGGGCAAAAGAGTACATAAGATTCGTCGGAAAATATGTAACAGGTAGAAAGAAACGTTTGCGACCCTATAAAGTATATATTTACTTAATCAGGATCACTAGCCGAGTCGATCCACTCATGTCCGTCTGCCTGTCCGTTCGTATGAACTCTGAGATCTCGGAAACTATAAAAGCTATAAATGGGGATTTGACATGCAGATTCTAGAGCTTCTTGTGGAGCGCAGTTTTTTAATGTTTCGTTATATCATAAAAATCATAAAAATATAAGCAAATACTATCTAAGGGAATAAGATAAACCTTTCGTTTAGCAAGTCCTCAAATTCATATTTTATGCACAAAGCCGGTCTCAAAACAAAATCTAATTTACCATGGATTTTTACCAATTATGTCTTGCTTTGATCGAATTCTAACGATTTCAACAGAAGCTTTACAGTCACCAAGTTGTTAAAGTCGTAAAGTTATTTCAATGTTTGCTGAGTTCTAGCTCAATATTATTCCCTACATACTTTCCGGTGAATCTAGAGTGCCCTTTTACTCTTCGATTAACGGGTATAAATATAAACAAGAGAGAAGTTGTTAATCATCTAAGAAAAAAGGGCCACCTATCGTTCATTAATACCGGCTATTAACGAGATTTTACAAACACGCCACATAACGTGAAACCTAGGTGGCGCTAGTAGAATTTCGTAAGCAACCGCTTTGCCAATATCAATACTCAGATAATAAGAACAAAATTTAAATTTTTACAAAATATTAAAAAAAATGTGGGCTCTAGACTGTCTTTAGCGTTATGGGCGATTGTAGACGTTTAAGTGGGCGTGGCACCCTGGTACAAAAAACTTGCGATGCGCAGGAAATCCAAGAATCTGCATGCTGAATCCCAACATTTTAGGTCTTACAGTTTCCGAGATCTCAGCGTTCATATGGACGGACAATGGAAGATCTACACGGCTAGTGATCCTTTTTTACGCTTCCTTCTACCTTCCTTTTACCTAGTTTAATATCATTGTTGATTTTAAAGGATTATCTAATTGGTAACCAAATGGCATATTTAAATTGGTTTTGCGACCAAGTAAATGAGCTTTTGGTTGAAAACTGTGGGATGAATTCAAGTTTAAAATCAAAATTTTACGATCTTTAAGATGTCCTGAAAGTCCTTTAACGCCGAATTTCACAAGATCCTTTATTTTCACAATATCTTTATTTCACCCCTCCATAGCACGATTAAACCCAATTTTCCAAATTTGAACTCCCTTGGCATGCACATTAGGATGAATTACATTTTTTTGGCATAAATTTTAAAAATACAGATTTCAAATTTTTTTTACACAATAGTCAGATTATAGCGAAATTTTGGTTTTTATTATTTTTATACCCGTTACTCGTAGAGTAAAAGGGTATACTAGATTCGTCGGAAAGTATGTAACAGGCAGAAGGAAGCGTTTCCGACCCCATAAAGTATATTCATTCTTGATCAGGATCACTAGCCGAGTCGATCTAGATGTCCGTCTGTCTTTCCGTCCGGATGAACGCTGAAATCTCGGAAAATATAAGAGCTGGGCTATTGCGACTTGGCTTGCAGATTCCAGTCTTCTTACGCAGCGCAAGTTTGTTTCAGCAGAGTGCTACGCCCACTCTAACGCCCACAAACCGTCCAAAACTGTGGCTCCTACAGTTTTGATTCTTGAGTAAAAATTTTAACTGAAATGTATTGTCCTCATTATACCTATCGATTAACCCAAAAAAAGTTTGCCACGCCCACTTTAAAATCGACTTTAATAAAAAATCGTATATATGAACGCGGATATCTCAGAAACTATAGAAGATAGAATATTGGGATTTCAGATTTAGATTCCGTAGCCTTGTACGCAATGCAATATTGTTACGCAAAGATGCCACGCCCACAAACCGCCCAAGTCTGTGGTGCCCACAATTTTAGTGCTATATAAAAAATTTTAACTGAAATGTATTTGCCTTGTTAATACCTATCGATTGATCTAAAAAAAAAGTTTGCCACGCCCACTCTAACGCCCACAAACCGCATACGCCTGTGGCGCCCACAATTTTCATGCTAGAAAGAAATGTTAACTGAAATGTATTATTCTCGTCAATACCTATCGATTGACCCCAAAAAAAGTTTTCCACGCGCACCCTAACGCCCATAATCTGCACGCCAAATCTCAATAGCCTAGCTCTTATAGTTTCCGAGATCTCAGCGTTGATCCGGACGGACAGACGGTCATGGATAGATCAACTCGGCTAGTGATCCTGATCAAGAAAATGTATACTTTATGGGGTCGGAAACGCTTCATTCTGCCTGTTACACACTTTCCGACGAATCTAGTATACCCTTTTACTCTGCGAGTAACGGGTATAATGACGAACATGTCACCCCTATGTGGCTTGGGCTGGGGGACCAAGACAGAAATCGACTTAAGCATTTTTTTTAGAAATTAGGAGAACCATTTTTTATAGTAACCCTAGCATATTATGTAAGAGTAGCTGTTTAATATTTCAAATCAGTAATTCGATGGGCTGGTCCCATTTTCTTTTATATTAGTCAATTTTACCAAATGTTTTTTTTGTATGTAGCACTAGTTACACCCAAAATGCACCAATAAGGATGTTGGTAATATTTGGTAGATCACAAAAAACACTACAATTTTTTATGAAAAAGGTTTTTTTAAAGAAAATTATTTTGGTATATCGATGTTTATAGTTATATCTTTAGTTGTGCTTGAATAATTTAGGTAAAATACGTTTTAGTTTACAACTATAATGACACCCTTTTATTTTATTGTGAACTACAACTCGGCAACTCGAAAATTTTGAATTTTTAAACAAACTAGTGACGTTTAGGCGACTGTTGATACCATAAAAACGTACCATTCTTAAATTATTATAATATATTATTATGCAAACAATTCAAACAAGGCATATTTGAACAAAACCCATGGTAAAATAGACTGCATTTAATTTTTTATAGCTCTCATAGTTATGGCGGCAACAGCTTTGCGCTTGATATTTGAAGCAGTGTTGTTTATATTATTAAAAAACTTCATATTTTCAAAGTTTGCGGAGTTGTAGCTTTTTTTTATGTAGCCTATTCATATATCACCTATGTTGGTGAAGCCCAAGTCAAGATATAATTAAAAACACGAAGTTACCAAAACCAATTTCTTTAAAAAATCAATAACAACGAAGAACGCTGTAGTCGAGTGTCTCGACTATCAGATACCCGTTACCCATCTAAAGGGAGCAAAAAGAAGATGGAGATATACTAGCAGCAAAGGGAGAATGTAAAGCGCCACTTTAATGCGCATCCTACCCCCGATTTCAATAAAAGGTACTGTGGGCGGCAGACAGATTTCGGCGATATGGGCGTTTGTGGGCGGTAGAGTAGGCGTTGCAAACTTTTTTTTAAGTTAATCGATAGGTATAGACGAGACTAATCCAATTCAGTGAAAACTTTTTTCCAGCAGGCAGCGTTTTGGTCGGTTTGTGGGCGTCATTCGTATATTCTTATATTTTCCGAAGTCACAGCATTTACACGGGCAGACGGACATGGCTAGATCGACTCGGCTGATCAAGAATATATATACTTCATGGGGTTGGAGACGCTTGTTCTACCTGTTACATACTTTTCCCCGAATACAATATACCCTTTTACTCAACGAGTAACGGGTATAAAAATAAACTTACCCTTTACAATTTCTGTAGTCATCTTTTTTTTGATCTACGGGTCTAACTCTACTAGAAACTAGCATCATTCTTCTTGACCCATTTTCAAAATATTATTTTGTAAGCAAGTGATTGATATCCAAAAAAACATCATTTACACTTTTACAAAATCTTAAAGAAAATGTAATACGTTTACCGTTTTGGGCTTTGCAGTGGGTGTTGCGAACTTTTTTTTAGGTCATTCAATAGCTATTAACGAAACAACACTTTTCAATTATAATTGTATTCCAGCATTATAAGCGGTTTTGAGCGTTACAAAGAAATAAATAGTTAGACTTAATTGTTTATTTTTCTAATAACAATCGGCACAGTCGACGTCCATCATTATAAACGCGGCCACATCAATCTGACATTTTACGGCATTGATGCCGTGGCGGAAATCCGGCTCAACCACCAACTGCTAGGACGGACAGACAACATGTTTGTGCGATACTCCTACGAAGTGAGCTCCCTGGTCCAAGCAGAAAACTTTCTGGAGGTTGAGATCAAGTCTCCCGTACTAGCTGCCTTGGCGAGAGCTAAATATTTAAATAATGATAAAAAAAGCGTTCCACCGGAATGCCCCAACGAGCGCTACCATGGCGAATGCCACATGAACATGTTGCGGAAGATGCAGGCTAGCTTCTCCTGGGACTGGGGTCCAGCAGCCCCCTCCGCTGGGATATGGAAAAAGGTGCA